GCTTCCTAAACGTCTTCCAACAGAAGCGCAGGTGAACATACATTTGAGCCTAGTGAGAGGATATTGTGCTAGTGTGGTGGTCTTACATGGATGCCTTGGAGGTGACGTATGGACTCCTGGAGGCCCATTGCTTACACGTTGAGAACTATTGTGCGTATTTGGTGGTTCGTCAGCTTTTATGGGTCACTTACGGGGATCTGAGGAGCAGACTAACAAAACAGAATGTGCAAAGTTATATTTCCCATGCATAGTAGTGGTTAAAGTAATCTGGAAGATGGAGGGAGTTGCAGTGTATGGAGATTGTTGACTGTACAGTCAGCATGTGTCTAATCAGACTTAATAAGTTTGACTCAATGCAGGTATTGCCAGAGCTGATATGACTCAGAGAGCCTCTCTGCACAGTTCTTCAGCTTCCAGGAGGTTTTATTAGTCTGGACTCCACACTGTGCGCATCCAGAATTGCTTCTGATCCAGTACTGGAGCTAATCTGTTCTGTGGCATTAGATGATTATGCATCATTCTGCCCAGTGCTCTGAATTCCCGGAATACTTTGCAGGTCTTATTAGCTATAAAATATCCAGTTCAAAATGCTTCAGAGACTGAACAGCTGCCTTCTCATCCAGCAGCCCCAGGTCAAATAACCTGGACCAGATCTTGTCTGGCTCTGCACCCCAGATTCCTTCCTTCCTCTGGGTGTACCTCAGTATTGGCATGGTGGTGGTTGGTGCTATGTGTGTGCGCACATGTGCATGCACATGTGCTGATTGCATGCTGGATGTGTTTCTAACAAGAGAGAAGAGGACAGATCAAAGATTTTAGTTGGTGTGCTGTGAGTCCCAGGTGGTGTTCCCAGTTTGAACAATGCAAAGGATTTAGTGTGACAATCAAAATTTGACTGGTTTTGGTCATGAGAAAATGTAAATGATATTTTCTTTAATTCTGGTCTACTCTTCAGATTTACAAAACTGACATGGCATTCCTTCATGATGTAGTTAGTTGCAGTTGCAAAAATGGCTTGGCTTTTAAATACAATTTCCAGATAGCATATCTTGATGTTATTTCTATTTTAAAGAAGCTACTAATTTAAAATGAGGAATATCTATATTTGTTAATACAGTGCAGTCACAAGAACAATGTCCACAAAATCATTTTACAAGATTTTGGCTGATTTTGTTTATGATCTTTTTGCAGACCATTTTTATTCTATTGTAATAATACATGGCTTCACCTTTTCCAAGGTATTTGTTATAAAATCAGAAATACCGTTGTAATTAGAATTAAACACCTGACAGGACAAGATTTAGGCAGTAACACAATGGTGAAAGGCTCTCATAGGTAACAGGCTTAGGCAAGCATAGGGAATTTCTATACCGCTCTTTGGGTTGGTTTGTGTGTGAAGGGGCTGCTGCACAACGGGTTCCTTTAAAGTGTGCTCAGCCTGGGCTTTGAATTTCCCCTTAGGAACAGCTACATGAGAGCTTGCCCTACCCTGTGCTGGCATTCCTAATGTTTGCTTCACCTTGCACTTGAAGTTTCCTTATTTGTCCTAGAGCTTACTGATAGATGAGGATAAAGTGAAGTTCTTGTCAAATGGCGCGTTAGGAACTATTCCACTACATTTCATTCGTGTTTGGCACTTCTCTGTCAAACTGGAGGAAACAAGTGCTTATAAATGACCATTCAGAACATTTGCTCTTTTCATTAAATAATTTTTAAACACTTCTATGTCTCTTTTATAGGATTTTAAAACATCCTGTCTGGTACTTTGATACTGCTGTATTGAGAACTTTCTTAATGGCCTTTCTCTCAAGCCCAGGAAGATAAATAAGAAGTGTAATTGGGATTTTTCCTAGGCTATCAGTGGTGTTCTGGCACATAATAAATATAAGCATGTTAAATGTATCCTACATCAAGTATGTCTAAGTTTATATGAGGTGATCTTGTCTTATACTTAGATGAGTATTACAGTACTAGTTATTTAAATACAGTAGGTGATGTTCAAGAGAAACAAAACCCTATTCATTCTCTGAGTTCCCCTGAGAATCAAATGCTGAATAACTTTTGGCAAAAATGCCAACTTGAAGTAAATATTAGGAAGTGATGGAAGTGATGTTTGGAGAGTTCCGTAGCTTGAACCAAGACATCAGTAGCCATGGACTCTTCAAATGTTTGTTGTTACCTCAGATTCGCTTAGTTATCAACTACCAACATAGCCTTGGCTTACTAGCTGCAAGCTCTGTTTGTGACATAAGTACTATGCACTTACAGTAGTTTGAGGGACAGTATCATGTACAGTACAGTGCAAGAGCACTAACCTGTGTTGATGGGTTATTTTGAAAATCAACCTTACATGAGTTAAGGCAAAGGAAGAATGTCATTAAGTTATTGGTCTTGATAGATGGATTTGGCTTGCTTACTGCTGCGGTATAAAAAGACCAACACTTCATTTATATAATGTGAACAGTAGGTCACAATGTGAGCTTTTCAAGGAAAAAAGCATCCTTGTGTGGACTTTACTTCATATGATGTTAGAAAGAAAATCAATACTAAGGTAATGTCAGAATGAAATCTTAAAATGCTTAGGAAAATTTAAAAGGGCAGCTGAGAACTTGGTCTTTATCCATCACAGGTAAGGCAGTATTGGCCCATACAAATAGTAGGAACTCATTTAACATATTTGATCTTCTGGATTAATTTGATAATGTTAGGGAACAATTTTTGATGTTAACTTTTCTTCTCTAAGAAGATGTTTGCGTCACTGCAAATTGTAAATATTTGACTTCTCAGGATGCAGACTTTCTAACCTTGAAAACACAATTTTTTGTTACTACATACATTTGCTCGTCTGCTTGTTGGTGTGGAACCTCCTATTCTAGAAACTTAATCTGATTTTGCTTAGTTTCTGTGGCTTAAAACAATAAGCATAAACTCAGCATTTGTGAAATCCTTGCAAGTAGCGATAAGAATATTCTTAAAACATATTCCTTGGACATTGCTTTGAGATAAGTCAGATGACTTTGGATTGAGAGTGGATAATTGCATGTACATTGTGAGAGCTGAAATGACCATCAGACACAGTAATAAACATTAGACAACTATGTGGAATTGATGCATTTCACTGGCAGTCTTTTTCATTCTGATCGATAAATAAGTTCAACATATTTAGTGTCTCTCAAGAACTAGTGGTGGTCTTGACGAATGAGGATGGAACTGAGGAGTGCTAAGACCTGTATTATCAACAGTAATTTTTTTCATTGTATTTCATCCTGCTAAGTAGATCAACTATTCTAGAATATAAACACTCTTAACTGAAAATATGAATTTGATGAGGATTAAGTAGCATGTTACTATCAACCTTAAATTAAACAAGATTAAGTTTAATTTGCTATAGAAGTGTGAAATTTCACATAGGTAAAGGAATCCAGTTTAAAATCTTCCCATGTACTTTCCCAAATGCAAACTAGTGCTTAGTATCTCTCATGTTCTTGTTTAGTGTTTCATTTACTGGTTTGCTCATTTATCTCAGAAGTGTAATTGGGTAGTCAGTAAAAGCACTGTGAAATAACCAGTTTTTGCATCTGCTTAAGTTAGCATGCAGCATGTGTAATGCATAATGTTTAGGCTCTGTAAGCAAGCTTGCAAATGCAGCCTTTGATCTGTTCTAGGTGTCAGAAAGAGAAGTAAATATTCTCCTCTCCCCCATCATCCCTTTATCTTGCAAGACATGTTCATATGGTAGCCATATGAAAACTCCGCCATATGAAAACCCTACAACATTAGTTTGATCTCTGAGAAAGGCCTTTCAAATAAAAAAAAATCTTGAATTCTGATAGTGAAATTACTCAGTGTACAAGAAAACTGGAAACCAGATATTGGGTGCTAAGTATCAGTAGGTTTCTAAAAGTTCCAGGTGTCTTCTGAGATCAAAACTCTAGCAAAAATAGATCTGCTATCAAAGTTAACTTTTAAGGTAGATTGGGAACAAAGGAGGCATAAATACAGGCTTATATAGGAACATATACGAGAACTCAGCTTCCTATTTAGAACAGTGGAGTTGTATGTAATTAGTTTAGGTCAACCGCATGATGTAAATAACATTCATTAGGACTGTGAAAGCAAGCAACTGCTTTTATTGTCAGTTAGACAACTGAAAAAGGATTGTAGAAAAAGATTGCTTCTTATAAGTAGAACTTTTAGATTTTGCAGGGCTGTCATGCATTTGACGAAGGAGAGGAAGCTTATGCTTTTTATAGCTACTAGGCTGGAGTAACTTGTAACAGTTGATTTCTTACAATTGACAAGTTGTGGTCATCAGTGTAAAACTTTTCACAGTGAGTGAGTAAAATGGACTAATGTATAAACATTAAGTAGTTCTCTCAAATGTTTCTGAAAGAATCTTAAAGATGAAGATTCTATTTCAAATTACCATATAGTTGTCTGGTTACCTGTATGTTGATATGTTCTACAACAGCGCTCATATTTTCCAAGTGAAGTTTTAAGAAAATTCTTAAAAAAAAAAAAAGAAAAAAATATTCTTGTGTGTATACTGTAGAAATAATAGGTAGTCTGGAAATAATGTCGGTTGGTCAAGTTACTTCATTTACTGTGCTTACATTTTTAGAAAGAGAGAGAAAATCCAGATACCTCCTGGTTACTGTTCTTCAGAGCAGTGAAAGCTGACCGGGGGGCCATATGATTCACTGTTAGTAGGTATCCAGAGGAAAATTAAAGAAAATATATTTGTGTACTCACCCATATTAAAACATTCAAACTTTCTGGTGGCTGTCACTTGACTCCCTACCTGAAGAATGTAGGCAGGTGGTCTATAGATGGCATGATCTGTTTGGCTTCTGTATGAACAACGTACATAATGCATTCTATGCTGAGTTCATAGCATGAAGTTTAATACAATGGGAGCTTCGTGTGTTTATGCATAATAGAATAAGCTTCTTAAATTGGAAGATAATCTAATTTTTTTTATTCTAATTGTAACTGTTTAGGCGTCTGAACAAGAATAAATTGCAAGTTCTTCCAGAGCTGCTTTTTCAGAACACACAGAAGTTAACTAGATTGTAAGTATAATCTGATTTATGTTCCTATTGTATGTTTCTTATTATACAGATTTGCACGTTTGTGTGTTGACTGTGGTGAGAGGTTTAATTTTTGTGATGTTAGAAGTGCTAGATAGTAAGGGTTCTTAAGATAATGTGTTATGTTTGCATGTGTGTAGTCGTAATTCAGTAGAGCATAAATATCAGAGGGAAGAGAAACCACAAAATTTTTCTGTTCCTCCTATATTCACCTCATCGTTCATGATGACTTCAAGGTGAATTATTTTCAACTCTCTATGTAGAGTTATAGAAACCATGAAAAGTGTCGACTACTCATATCCAGTATAGTCTAGATGTCCACAAAGAGAGATTGCATACTCTTATTTAAAAATTGGCATGTTGACTTAATACAGATTGTTATAACTTTTTTAGTTTTAAAAATTATATTTTAAATAAGTCAAGGCATTGCCAGGCAGATGAGCAAATTTATGGCTGCTGCCTCGTCAGTCAGGAAGATGAGGAAATATGGACCGGTAAAGAATTTTTCATCTCCTTGAAATATAAAAACTGTGTTACAAGATGTTTAGATGGCATCAAGACCAGTTTGAACAGCAAGAGAAGACTAACATGAGCTTGGCATCATTTTTTTTGGTGGGGGAAGGGAGAGAGTGGTGTTAGCACAATGACTGAATGATTTATAAAATATATTTTTAAAAAAGTCAATAGAAATAAAATGGATGAGCAGGTGCCTGCAGAGTTACTATCAAGAAGAGTCATCTGCCTTTTTAAAGGTTTAGTCAATAGCTGTTTGAAATAACTTTAACTTTCTAGATCCTGCTGAAGTTAAACTCATGATCCAGTCTGTCTTTTTGAAAGATGTGCTATATGGTAAAAATGGGTTTTTTTAATGCTTGAATTTATATATGGAAGACCAGTTAGTAAGATTTATGATTTGTCTAGTGAAATTGTAAAGTTGCTACAGGATTGCTGAAAAGTTGCTTCATCCATGTGGGGGTTTTTATAATTGTTTTAATACCTCTATATGCAACCAAGGAAACCATTTAGGCAGTGCAGTAAATACAAAACACATGGTGATGGTGCAGATTAATTTTGGAATCAGCTGGCTATTTAAAAAATAGGCTCTTTGTCTGCTTTTAAAACATTAACAAATTGAATAGTGTTGTGCAGTGAGTGATACTGATACAGTTTTGGAGAATTTCTGTAATGAACTTCATTGTTGCCCGAACTTGCTCATGAAAAACTGTACAAGTAAGTGAATGACGTTGTTCTGGAGATTAGAAATATAAATAATTACAAACTTTAGCTGTCTTTTAATCTCAAGATCTGCTTGAAAAATCTTTGTTGGATTTGTTTTTGCAAGCTTTGTCGCAGCTTTTGAATGCACTAGAAAATATTTGCTCAATGGATTTGCTAGGGCTGAGTGATTTGGTTGTACTTCCTAATTTTCTTTGCATGTTTTTGACATTCTGTGTCTTGAAACTCCTCTTGAGTATAAAGTGTGAGCTGGTACTTACTTGCAGATACCATTATCTGGTCTCCAGAAGATGCCAGTGGTATTTATTTCACAGAAGAGTTGTTTCATGTAGGTTGGTTGTCTAGGGAAATGGTGATGCTTTCAAGATAAAAAAAAAAAATTATAGAGTTTACATGTCTCCGCTAATACAAATTCCAGTTTAACATGTTGAAACTTCTTCTGTGAGTGGTCGCATTGTACATAGCTATCATTAGGCTGAAAGGAACGCTCTGGTAATTTGTGGTTTCGAGGGAAGGTTGTGTATGTTGATAATTTTGGAATCCTGGCTATTTAAAAAATAGGCTCTTTGTCTGCTTTTAAAACATTAACAAATTGAATAGTGTTGTGCAGTGAGTGATACTGATACAGTTTTGGAGAATTTCTGTAATGAACTTCATTGTTGCCCGAACTTGCTCATGAAAAACTGTACAAGTAAGTGAATGACGTTGTTCTGGAGATTAGAAATATACATAATTACAAACTTTAGCTGTCTTTTAATCTCAAGATCTGCTTGAAAAATCTTTGTTGGATTTGTTTTTGCAAGCTTTGTCGCAGCTTTTGAATGCACTAGAAAATATTTGCTCAATGGATTTGCTAGGGCTGAGTGATTTGGTTGTACTTCCTAATTTTCTTTGCATGTTTTTGACATTCTGTGTCTTGAAACTCCTCTTGAGTATAAAGTGTGAGCTGGTACTTACTTGCAGATACCATTATCTGGTCTCCAGAAGATGCCAGTGGTATTTATTTCACAGAAGAGTTGTTTCATGTAGGTTGGTTGTCTAGGGAAATGGTGATGCTTTCAAGATAAAAAAAAAAAATTATAGAGTTTACATGTCTCCGCTAATACAAATTCCAGTTTAACATGTTGAAACTTCTTCTGTGAGTGGTCGCATTGTACATAGCTATCATTAGGCTGAAAGGAACGCTCTGGTAATTTGTGGTTTCGAGGGAAGGTTGTGTATGTTGATAACTTGTGTGCAGCTGTCTCAAGGAACCTTGCACAAAGAAACTAAGTGAAAGTAATTGAGGCTTTTCAATACCAGCGTGTGTATTTTTGAGTAGCTCATGTAATCATGATACATTATAGTCCTTAACAGCAAGGGTGATAATTTTGGTTTTAGAATATAGAGATTGTAACAAAAATACATAAAATAGAATGATTAATATGAATACTGTTCTGTAATGCTTCCCAACGGATGCTGCCGAAATATTTGTCTTTATTCACTGACATTCATTCAAAGTCTTGCTTACTGTTTAATAGTGCTTTAGATAGATCACTTTAGCACTGTTTGTCAGTAGAAACTTGCTTTTTCTTTTGAAGATACAAGTGTTATATAAATATAGCGAATATATTAAGTAAATAAATCTTAGCTAAGTGAACTATTACAGTTCGAAATGCAGTTTGGTTGTATGTTTTTCAGTGATGGGATAAGAACTAGAAATTTGCTACCTACTAGAATTTGTAAAAGTACACAAACACACGTGTGTGTATATATATATTTTTATACTTTGAGGAAAAAGAAAAATATGTGTCTAAGAAGGTTACTTTCTATTTTCTTGTGTTACTGTCTTGGTCCTACTGCTAGTACATTTCAGAGCTGTTCTTTCTCACTTCTGTTATGATTTGTCTTAAATTCAACAGTGCCAGTCTACTTTGTTCACAGCTGGCTTTCTGGGCAAAATGTTTCAATGAAGAGGCATGATGCTTGAATTCCTCTCCCACAGCTGCTCTGGACCTAGTCTTTCAAGAAGAAAGCATAGCTGAGAAAGTGATGAAAGGGAATAAAAGAAGTGAAGCAAAAATTGATAAGAGGGACGGATACATGGGTGACATAAATTCTGTGGAATTTACAATGAGTGAATTAAAATGAACATCAAAAAGTGTAGGTAATACTGATCTTAATTGTTATTTTCCATAGTATAGGTATATTATTTCTGCTGCCATATTTTCAAACTGTTGACTCTGGGCTACTAAGCTATGAGTCAATTATTTTATATTTAATAGTTTTAATCCTGATAAACTAGAAAGTCCAAAATTGAGTATTTTAATTGTTAAGCTTGCTACAGCTCAAATGATGCAAAATTTTAAGAACTAAAAATTGCCATGTATTATACCCAAAATGGAAAACTTGGATTTTATTCATTGAAAATGAAGAGCTCATAGTCTTGTCCACATAGCAAATACAGATGAAATCAGCAGTGATTCTTACAGCTGCTCTCTTCAGCAGGCATGCAGTAAACCATAACAGTCTACAACTTTGTTAATGAAGGTCCAGACTCAATTTTTTAAAAATATAGAACTAAACACAAAGGTGACATTTAAAGTTTGATAACTTGGTAATAGTGTGAAAGTTGGGCATATTATTAGCATTAATAGAATTTGGTGGAGATGGAGTGACTGACCTGCTTAAACATGCAGGAATTTTGTGTGCTGGAGGGTTTCAGGGAAGACCTGTTAATGTTTCAGGAATAGTTAAAAGTTGCAAAACGAATGTGAAGACTTCTCAGTGTTTGGTCAGCTGGGCTGAAATCTGCCTGTGAGTTTACTGAAGGAGCAAACTTTTTAATGTAGTTCAGTATCAGCAGTGTCTCTTCAGTCTTGTTGCTGCTGGAAGTTGAAATGTAGAACATTAAGTTTTCCTGTCAATGATGTGCTTGAAAAGCTAGAGAACAAACCTGTTTGGCGATGTTGGGTTCTTCTCTTGTTTCATATGTGTGCTGTTTGCATAGTTTGGGACAGCCATGCTGTTGTCCCTGATGGTTTCCTTATTTGTCACCGTAGCGTGCTTATGTCAGGGCACTGTGCATTTTCACTGAAATGCAATCTTTGTAATAACTAATAAAATTTAATTTAGAATGCTTCTCAGATTATAACTACTTCCTCAATCAATCACCTTTGCCTCTTTTCTCCAACCCTCTCCTGAAATGCCGAGCTACAGGATATCCTTGCATCTTTTACAGTGCTGCTTAGACTTCGTTGTCACATCTGGTTGGTATTAGAAGCAGGAATATATATATAAAGGAATAAATCTTAGATGGAATGTGAAACGTCCCACGAAATGGGTTTCTCATAAGGTTTTGAGCCTTTTCTTGTAGAAAGAGTGGCTTTGAGAGTCATGGATTTTGTTTGCTTTAGTTTAGATAAGAGTTTTAAGTTTAAATTGGATGGTGAATGAACCCTTGATTGGATTCTGTAGTGGAAATGTTTGCCATTGCTCTGTTGCCTTGATTTCCTAGGTTTTAAAGCTTCTTAAATGTTTTATCTGGGATAAATAATTAAGTATCTAATAATTCAAACTGCAGGCACTTTTAATGAGAAAACTGAATCAAGGAAAAGGCACTTTTAATACATTGAGAAATGGAAACAAGAAAGGTATTTTTGGTACAGTTTCAGATATTATTTACTAATATATAGCCATAAAGAAAAAGGTAATATTAATCTTAATACAAGTGATTAAATGCACAGAAAGAGTATAATAAACCAAAA